AAGATATCAAAGTGGTAGATAGTTTCTGCCTTTTAGGATCAACCATCAATAATAAAGGAACAAGCAATCAAGTCATACGCTGCACACTAGCACTCAGTAGAGCAGCCATAAAGGCCTTTGAAAAGATATTTAGATGCTGTGATGTGTCTATACCTGTAAAGATCAGAATAGCACAAGCCATAATATTCCCTGTGACACTATGGAAGCAAAAGTTGGACTTTAAAGAAGCAGGATAGGAAAAATATTGATGCTTTTCAACTTTGGTGTTGAATAGCATGGACTGCCAAGAAAACAAACAAATAGATCATAAACCCAGAGTTCTTGAAGCACAAGTAACCAAGCTCAAATTATCATACTCTGGACACATTATGTGAAGACTTAGTTCTCTGGAGAAGGCTCTAATGCTGGGAAAAGTGGAAAGAAAGAAGAGGATGATCAGAACGGGTGGAGTAATTGCAACAGCAATGGGTGAACCATTAGGAGACTTGTAGGACCAGGCTGGGGACAGAGTGACGTGGAGAAAATCTATATGGTCACTAAGAGTCAACACCAACTTGATGGCACATAAGTAAATTGTGTAATTCAAGGAGCAATATGTTGCCCTCATACACAGGAATTGTGATAAGAGGCAGTGTATAGTTTGATACAAATTGTATTTTTGCTTATACAATGTGCAGCAAATAGAAGTGTCTGGAGACAACTTGCATCAGCCTTCAGATATTACTGAATTTCTGTCCCACCACAATCTGTATCAGACTCAGCAATGAACAAAAACAATACAATTAAAACAGTTCCAAAGATCATGCTAATTGGGGATGGTAGAGACTGAAGTCCAATTCTTAAGGGCAGAGTTTTAAAAGATTTGCTTACTTCTATTACATAATGTGGGTTTTCTAGGACCTAAAGTGAAAATTGGAGGAATATGCTCCTGTCCAAGCAATAAACAGTGGTTCCTGCTTCTCCTTGGCTGTGTTTATGTGACACGCTGAATCACAAATCAGGCAATGCTGCTTAGCCAAGTTCGTGCAAATCCAGACCATGTAGTAATGGTTTAATATGACATGAAGCCAAATAATTGAATTAACTTGACTAAACTCAGTAAACATACTGTGCAAACACATCATACTCTGCTCACCTTACAGTGGTATCCAGGTAAGGAGATATCTGAATGTTCATCTCATCCAACTAGACAGTCATAGAGACAATGATGCTCTTGGAGTTCCAGGGTAATCTCTCTTCCATGAATCCTGAGCAGCAGGGACATAAGCAATACTTTTTTTAGATCATATGTAATACAATACTATGCTTTATAAACTAGATCATATACTTTCCAGTGGGCAAAAAAAAAAAGTAAACTTATTTTTAGCTAGACATAGAATCAAAAAGTTGCCCCATTCTAGCTGAACACTGACCTGGATCAGGCATTAGACCAAGATTTGGTTATGTCCCTGCCATCAGCTCCTGGGAGTTCAAAAATCTTGGGTGGGACTCTCATTTTCCCAACTCTTAGGATTTTCTTTGGAGATGCTAGGTCCCAGGCAGTAATGGATTTATTTATTTCAGCCTTCATCTAAAGGGCCCTAGCTTGGAGAAATCTGTACTAGACTGAATTAATATATAAGAATGTAAGATATAAGAAAAAAATAGAAGTTGGGACTTCCAGCTGGTTTATCCTGAGATGAGGATGGATCATGAAGATTGAATCCCTTAGAATCCTTGATTAAGGCAACAAGCTGGTAAACAGGAGGTATTTGCATGTACCTGGAGTTTGGCAACTTCTTTGATAAGATTACTGTAGAGAGGACAAAGGTCAATTAACTCTGAATTTCTAAAAACTCAGGCACACACTTTAGGACCTTCATATTTCTTACCATGAAGCAGCTTTTCTCAGAACAACATTAAACTGCTTGGATGAGGAGCCTGTAGACTTTTGGCTGTGGCTTAACTCAACTGCTAGGAGTTGTCCAGCAACATCCTGGGAGGAGCTATTGATCACCATCCTTTAGTTTAAATAACACCAACAAAAATACAAACTATGACTTACACATGTATAAAAACCAGGGCTGAGATTCTCACTGAGCAAGTTTCCCAACATTAAAATACTCTCTTGCTCATTTGAACTGT